TTCTCTTTCCCTTCTTCCTGGGAATTTTTGTTCCTGGACGTATTTCAATAGCGGTTGTAAGCCACTATCCGTTCTCTGGGCATCTCTTATCTTTTTGTGATTAAGGCAATTAAAATCACTACTGTCCATATGTTCGGGCTCTGTGGATATGTGCTCCACCCCGGTCTGCCCGTTCTGCATCACTTGTACCCCATGAGGGATATCTGTTGACGCTCTGACCTCACATATTCCTGTCAGCGTTTCTTCCTCATCACCCGGTTTCTCGTAAGGATTCCTTGATAAAGCGTCCGCATTGCCATTGGACCGCCCCGGGCGATATTTTATCTCCAGGTCAAAGAGTGCCAATTCTGCTGCCCATCGCTGTTCGATGGATCCTAGCTTTGCTGTCTTTAGGTGACTCAAGGGGTTATTGTCAGTGTATACCACACATTTAGCACCTAAGAGATAGTCCCTGAATTTTTCAGTCACAGCCCATTTTAATGTCAAAAGTTCTAGTTTCATGGCGCTGTAATTTGTCATGTTCTTCTCTGATTCCTTCAGAGCTCGACTGGCATACGCAATAACCCTGAAACCTTGCTTTTGTTGTTGTGATAGCACAGCTCCCAGGCCTTTAGAGCTGGCGTCAATTTCTAACCGAAATGGTTTGTCAAAGTCCGCGTAACCCAATATCGGTGCCTCTGTCAAAGCCTTTTTCAAGAGTTTAAACGAGTTCAGGCATTCATCAGTCCATAGTTCACCTATCAGGTGTGTTTTACCTTTCTTTTTCTCCTTACTGTGTTTCTTTGTCATTTTGTTTACCAAGTCATGCAATGGTGCGGCAATTTTTGCAAAACCAGGTACAAATTTTCTATAATAGGAAGCAAAGCCCAAGAATGACCTGACCTCTACCGTAGTTGTTGGTTGTTTCCATTCTTTAACAGCTGCAATTTTATCTGGGTCAGTGGCGATGCCATCCGACGAAATCACGTAACCCAAAAAATGTACCGATTTCAAACCAAAGCAGCATTTGTCTGGGTTCAGCTTTACTCCTATCTCCCTAAGACGGAGAAACAATTGTTCTAATCTTTTTAGATGGTCCTCCCAAGTTTTTGAGTAAACTAGAATATCATCCAAATACACCAACATTATTTGAAATAGAAAGTCACTCATAGCACTCTGCATTACTCGCTGGAATGTAGCAGGTGCATTAGTTAGACCAAACGGCATACGGGTCCACTCGTACAGTCCCAGTGGAGAAATAAATGCAGTTTTATGTTGATCGTTGGGGTGCATGGCCACTTGGTGGTAGCCACTGGCCAAATCCAAGGTAGAAAAAAATCTTGCTCCCCCCAACGCATCAAGACATTCATCAATACGAGGCAAGGGGAATGCATCCCTTCTTGTGATATTGTTCAATTTCCGGTAATCACAACACAGTCTTATCTCCCCTGACTTCTTTTTTACCACTACAATCGGTGCCGCATACGGGCTTGTACTAGTTGTAATAATTCCCTTTTCTAGTAGATCATTCAGGTGTGCCTTCACCGCCGAGTAGTGACTCGGTGGTAATCTTCGATAAGGTTGCGCCACCGGCTTGTCTTGTAGTAAGGGTATCTGGTGTTTGATTACTTCCGTGTACCCCAAATCACCCTCATACGAGGCAAATACATCCCTGTATTTATTCAGTAATTCATTTAATTTTGGGTCTTCAGTTTCCGGGAATATATATGATCGGCCACCCTTTTTCTTCACCTCGGCCGTCACATTGACCGACCTAATTGTTACTTCATTACTACTGGTATTGATCAGTTCGATGCACTGTGCCGACCTTTGTACCTCGACGTTCTGTGGTACTCCTACCAGAGTGTTAGGCGGTATAAAAATTTCCTCATCCAAAACATTAGCTACCAACCCTTGAACTAGTCCGTTTTCCGCTGATGTGTATGTCCGCAGTAACACGACGCCTGCCCTCAGTGCGGCGCCACATGGTTCTACCATCACATCACCATTCACGCTTCTATCACCAATTTGTAATGTGATTGCCTTGACCGTGTTTGCCGGGACTGCTGTCCTTCCTCTGGTCTTGGCAAACCTGGCCAACTTGGATCCCCGACCTGGTGTGGTCGATCCGACAATATTTGTAAGAAATTCTGGCAACTGGCCAAGAATATTCATGCCCAACAGGCAAGGTATATTTGACACATTTGTCTCTAGGTTGTGTTTCGTAACGAACACCCCAACCTGCTTCAACCTATGTCCTGCCACCACGACATCCGCCAGAAAATAACCACAGTATGGAATGGTTAGTCCATTAGCTGCCGTTAGGCGCATGCCTGTGTCAGACCTCAACCTATGGTCTTTTCCTTTCATCCATTTGGTGTAAAAATTTTCCGTAATTGTCGTCACCTGGGAGCCTGTATCCACAATTGCCTTCACCGCGATGTCCCCAATCGTAATCACCATTTCGGGACAGACTCCCATCATTTTGCTTCTTGGGCCATAACCTCGCCCCTCTGTAGCCTGGCCCTGCCTTACAGAGGACGACCGTTTCCCTGGCAGTACCGTGCCATATGTCCGGGTTGTGAACAAGACAAACAAATTGGTCGACCGTCTGCCGTCCATTGGAGTGATGGCTTGGCAGGACGCGGCCGTCCAACCCGTCCCTGTTTTGTACCGTTCTTTTCCTGATTCTCAGCTGTTGACCTGCTTTCCAACCACTTCAAGCGTTGGTCAACCTTCTCTAGGTGGGCCAACAGTTGAGCCATCATGGTCTCCATCGTGTCGGCCCCTGTGGGTGGGGATTGTCTCTGTTCAGGCACAGAGACTTTGTCCACCGAACAGTTCGATTGGTCCTCATCCTCGGACCTGCGGATCGCTGAGTTCCTGACCTGAAGGAAGGTCAACTGCTGGTCTCTGTGGACCTCCTCTTTCAACTCTCTCCTTAAGATCGGGGTTGCTAGCCCCTCGATGAAATGGTCCCTCAGTAGGCGTACATCAATGTCCGGTGATTTGCCCTTTACCAAATCAAAGGCCCTGTTCATCCTGTGTGAGTACTCCATCACACTCTCCGCCATTCTCTGCTTTAAGCCCACGAATCCCGATAGCAGTTGCACTCCCGACCGTCTCTCCCCAAAGGTCTCCATAATCAGATCTAGCACCTTATCTGGATCTGATTGGACGGTCCTATCGTGGCACTTAACCTCTGCCCTAACCGTTTCACCTATACTGCCCATCAGCAGTCTTAATCTTTCCTCTGGTGACATATGTCTCGAGGCCCAGGCCGCTTTGACCTCTTCACTGAACCTGTTGGTTAAAGTTGGATCTCCGTCCCCGTAAAATTTGTTAATATGGGACTCTCTGGGTAGGACCACTATATGGGTCTGCTTCTCGTCCAGAGTAGACATTTTCTTCCTTAAGTACTAACAAAAAAGAGTTCTTTCTTACCGTGTGTGTATGAAAAATTTTTCCTCGTTCCTCAATTTTCACAGTTCCTGAATGTCCGAATTCACACACACACTAAACACAGTTATGCACAAGGTTGACTATAGGTGCCTTAAACGGCAAGTCTAGTTGAATTCATCCTGATCGCAGCGCCAATTGTGACGAGCGAACATTTATCCTGCCGACAACGCCAATTGTAACGAGCCAACAGTTACCATGCTCGCAACGCCACATGTAATGAGACCTAATTGCCTGTAGTGCCACGTGTTAACGAGTTTAACCACTCATTCTAGACAACATTGACCACAGTATAGATACTCAAGATGCAGGTTCGCTATTGATCCTTTATTACATGAATCAAGAAATGCTTCATAATAACACAATAAATCAACAGGAATGCTTCTCAATAATAGTCTGAATCAACTGACCCCTAACAGTCCTTCACTAGGCTTTATATAACTGAATCCACATGTCTATAATCCTTCTTAACACAATACGGCTAACCCGTTCTATAACCGACTTGACATAGTCACACAGACTGACTGATCTAAGCGAGCGATGAAAGAGGTAAGAGCCTCGAAACGGGAAGAGAGAGGACGAGTTCTGCCGTCCCCTCCTATTTATGCCTTGAAATCGTAGTCGTACTTGTCTCCATTTCCGTAATCGATACTTGTAATCGATGTATCCGAATACTAATGTCGCAGTTTCTGACGTACCGTCCGATTCACTAAAACATCTGCGTCCCATCCATCAAAGTTGACAGCTCGTCTGAAACTTCTCGTACCGTTTCCCAAAATAGCACGCGTTGGCTTTGAGATTGTTATCAGACCGATCCAATAAGCCACCTGTTATGGTTGCGTCAGATTTCATACTGCGTCGCGGCTTCTCGTTCGTTATCATTTGTAACTGGTAGTTAGGCCTACCCCAGTTACATATATATATATATTCAATGTCTCTGGATTAAAGTTAAGATAACAAATTTTATCCATTTGGGAAATTAAGTTGATGTCTACCCAACTTCGACGAGTAGGGCCTACTAGTACTGCTGGGAGGAAACAAATGTAAGCAAAGTGCTGACCACTGACTCAAGTGAATAAAACAGCTGAGGTCTTTTCCAGCAGAGGCGTCGCAAGGTCACCCGGTGCGGCAACTCATGTTGTAATTCCCCCGCCCCTCCCAGACGTTGATTAACGTGTCAGTTTTTAAAATTCTCAAGAACTTTTTTTTCTTCATGATGATTCAGTTTACGTCATGGTGGCAAGCCTCCATCCCCTACCCCCTTCCCCAATCTTGTTGGGATTTGTCAATTTCGCTCTCAATTAAAAAAAAAGTCTTTTTAACTCTATTTAATCATTTATTTAACTGGAATGATTGTTTTTTTTCTATAAATATTTTGCTATTTTTGGCTAGTTGTCACCCCCTCCCGTAAGTGGTGTCACCCGGTGCGTTCCGACCCCCCCCCCCCCCCCCGCCCCCCCATCGCAAGTTTCAGGTCTGAGAAAATGTGAATTAATTCATGAATTATCGATATTTGCTTCCATTGAATGTTTATGCCTTTGGTTATAACAATTATTAGGTTCAATTGATTCAATGACCGTGATGCTTCTGATCAACACCATTTTCTTCAATGGAACCTGGAGATTTCCCTTCCCCAAGTACAGAACGTTTAGACGTCCTTTTTATAGTTTGGATGGGGGAATCAGCTCGGTAAGGTTTAGATATTTAAATTTAATTTCTTGAGATTAATGATTAATCTATTTCTTTGTTCTTAATTTTGGTGTTGGAAGGGATCCCCTCCAACACAATTAAGTACACGTGTCAACTGGTTATGCGCAAATAAGGCCAATGACTCCGATTTCAGCCTGTTTTTCTTTTTCAATTTGCTTCCATAACCTTTATCCAACAAAGAACAAACTACAAGGCAGTAGTTGTTTGGTTTTTGAGTTGTCTCTCCTAGAAGAGTGGATGTCCCCAGCTAACGAGCCTCATCTGCCCTAGGGTTCGAACTCGAGACTTGTCTATTACCAACCATGAGCTTTACTGACTCGTCCACGCCGACCCCTTAATGATTAATAATAATTGACATTAAAATTAAATGCATTTAGTTAAGCTCAGGTGTTTATACATTTTTAAATAATAATATGTAAAAATAAATTAAAAAGTCAATATCATTTGTCGGATGTTTTTAAATATTTACACTCACTAGGTCGACATGATGAGCGATGACATGACCATTAAATACAAGAAAGATAACTCTATTGGGATAGAGGTAGTCGAGTTGCCCTTCAATGGTGAAAGATTCCATTTTTACATAGCTCTACCAGAGGAGGTGAATGGTATCACAGATTTAGGTATGTTGTAGGTCATAAACTAAATTAAAGTAAAATGTGGCCAATCAAATGAAGAAAACATTTTTTAACATAATTTAATACAATCTGGTGGCACATTTTCAACTTGTTCTTCAAAATAAATGTCGCTACCTTTACAAAATGTGAAGTCACTATGTATATGTCTTGTTTCTAAAGAAAAATTTCTAGCAACGCCAGGAAAGGTCGATACACTGTTCGGTGGACTTAGCTCTGAACACTTAGATGTCAGCATTCCAAAGTTCAAGACTGAGACAACTTTATACCTGGTTCAACCTCTGAAAGATATCGGCATGGTGGAGGCTTTCATACCTGGTTACGCCGACTTTACTGGAATCAGAAGAAAAGGTAAGCTGTTGAACAGGTAAATATAAATATTTAAGTTGTTATCTGTATATTTGGATGTCATGATCTGATTTAAATGCTACAGCCTTTAATAACTTGAGGATGTACATATTTATATACCTAACAACACAATGTATGATTATTTCAGACCTAGCCTGTAAACAGTAATTTTACATTGAAAATAACGGGAACAGGGCTTTTACCCCCCCCCCCCCCACGTTAATTACTCATCGCCCAGTAGGACATTACCCCCCGGTCATAGCTTAAGGTTCAGCTAGGGATAGAGTTAGAGTTTGAGTTTGGGCTAGGTCTAGGTCAACGGTTAGGGTTAGGGTTTGGGTTAGGGCTAGGGCTAGGGTTAGGTCTCGGATTAGGGTTAGGCTGAAATCAATGTCTAGAGTTGGGTTTGGTTTTGGGTTAACTTTAGGGTGAGGTGAATTCTTAGGTTTTTCGTTATTTTCTTAAAGTTAGAATTAAGGTAATATATTGGTATAGAGTTGGGGATAAAATCAGGATTCTATTTTGGAGAATGGGAGGAGGTGTTAATTCCCCAGGGGGATAATTGACAGGGGGAGGGGTAAAATCGGGGGGGGGGGGGGTTAATGTCCGGGGGGGTTGGGTAATGTCCTGTAGCCGAAAATAACAAAGCGATTTAAAAATACTAACTTTCCACATAATTAATTGAAAAATAACTTTTTCGTTCCTCAAAAAGGTTAAAACACTATATTCGCGCAGCAAGATATATATATTCATTTAACTGAATGTAAACACATTACACAAAAAAATAGACTATCTATAAAAAGAAGATACAATTCACTTTAAAAACAATGGTATCACGGAGATTTATACAAGTTCAAAAAATGCATTTATTGTAACCTGATCTCGGCCACAGGTGAAGTTTTTATCAGCCAGGTCATTCACAAGGCTATCATTGACGTCAAAGAAACAGGAACTGTCGCTGCTGCAGCTACAGCTGTGCAAGTGAGAAAGCAAGTGAGAATGGCCTCTGTACCGAATACAAGATTTGTCGCGGACCATCCTTTCCTCTTCTTTATTAGAGACGAATTGACCCAACAAATTTTGTTTCAAGGAAAATTTTCCGGATAATTAAATAAACAGTGAGTTGAATTGGCATGTGTGGTTTTTTAAATTTATTTGCGTGCAAGTTTTGCGATGATGAGATTTGAAAATTTTTCCCGACGCAAATCGTAAATAATAGTGTACAACATCAATCCTAATCTATTTTCAGTAAACGACAACAGTGGTAGCAGTATATATATATATATATATATATATATATATATATATATATATATATATATATATATATATATATATATATATATATATTTATAATGTTACGACCCCACCCGGGGTTCCCATCCCCCGACCCTCCTCTCCCTTGGATTGTAAAAAGTAAAAAATTTAAAAATAAACTGTCATTTGCATCATCCATCTGTATTTACAATAAAGCGTGAGTGATCTCCCCTAAGCTTTCTCGAGTATTCTTATATAATACTGCGAGGGATGTCAATAGGAATATAGACATGATTTTTAATCAATTTTTAATTAATTAAACTTTTTAAAAATTGAATAGAATCTCATAGAAGAAAAAAAGGTTTGCGCACGAATTGAGCAGAAAACAATGTATATATATTAGTGCCTGTGCACACCTCCCTGTTTCCTACAGTGTTCTGACGTTCCATGTTCCTAAAAGGATAGGTGTCTTTTGCGATAGTAGTTTTGGGGCTTTGAACTTAGTTTTCCTCGGTTGAAGAAAGGGCGTCGACTCTGTGGCTCGCATGATGGTTTGGCTGCATTGTGTCATATTTCTCTTAAGTGGAGACATAGTTCTTCCGAGAACTGGATTAATTTCAGATTTGGCTTCGGTTTCTGTAACTCTACTTAGTTTTATGTAGACGGGTAGTTACAATCCTCAACCTGGAGGACCAGGGCACAACGTTTGGTCTGGCCCCTACCTGCACATATGTGTCCAGCTTATTTAGAACTGCCAGGAGCACTAGGCTGCCGCCGGAAAACCCCTGGTGGTCGCTGGGGCACACAAGCCATCCCACCACTTGAAGGAGGTGTACCATCAGACACAATTTACGTGTACTATTTTTTTCAATCTTTTATTTAACTCACTGTCTCTGTCGTCAGTCTGTCTGTCCTGATCGAAACGCCCGAGCGAAATTACTGACACTTCTAACAGTTTCGTAGTTGGCACGTGGGTCAAGACATGAAGAATGCAACATGACATAATTGATATTTTATTAATTAAAATTTTGACCAAATTACTGGGCAGTCTTATCCAATTACATCACGTTCAATAGGGAGTCATCAAGTTCAATAGGTCATGTAACTCTATTGTAAATAAAACATGTAAAGAACTGGAAAATAAGTTCATAAAAAATGTTTTAATAACAAACTTGTATGTAATTATGCACTAAAAAGTAGAAAATAAATTATACACTACTATTTAAATAACTATAAAGAAAAGCAAGGGTCAATTTAGTACCTATTGGATACGCTAACTAATAATACTTTACTAATAATAAGAAGAGGCCCGCGCTTTTTTTATAGTTATTTAAATAGTAGTGTATAATTTATTTTCTACTTTTTAGTGCATAATTACATAAAAGATTGTTATTAAAACGCAGGTTATGAATTTTTTTAAGCCCAAGTATTTTGACCACTTTCTAAACAGGTCGATCGGTAGAATAACAAATTATCCTACTACGTCGTATTGCAATTATCGAATCCATCAAATTATAGCAACTGTACGAAGACTGACGTCCTGTACAATATAAAATGATCATCAGTTAAATCTGATGATCAAACAGATATGCGGATGTGTAGGAGTACTTATAAAAATGATTAGCATAGTAGTCGCCATCTAGATCTTTAAGTTCAGTCTGAAGTAATAAGCCGCATATAACACTGCTCGTGAAATTTAGCTGTATTACTATTAGTTGTTGTTTTTATTTTATTAAACTTTCATGTTAAATTTTATGTGCATCTGTTTATAAAGCAGCATACTTTGGCCAACTTTTTAAATTCTTTTGATTACACTGTAGTCTACGTGTGTTTAATTCACAAAAGTTTTCACTAGAAAGAACAGTAGACATTCGGGCTTTTCATGAATCGAACATTCACTTGACACACCACAACATACACACGCCAAGGATGACGAGGTTTGTGTTAATAAGAATCAACTAAAGACAATATTTCACTTCCTAAATAAGCAAGATGACGATAACATTTAATTGTTAAATTTTAATGTATTTTCATGTATGGTTTTCTAAATTCCCAACAGATAGTTTTTAAACACTTAATAACATTAGCTTATGGACATGTTAAGGGCTTTTTTAATCATGTATAATTAATTATATCTGGCAACTTACTAAACTATTTTTAGTACGCAGCTTTGTTGTATTACAAACCGGTTGCTTTCAAACCCTTAACAAGGTTTCCTCTACTTGAAATGGTTCAGTTCATTTTCTCTTTTCTATAGTGTCGGAACTAACTACACATTTAAAATGGAACATGTAGCAAGTGTTTTTATGCTATGTTTACCTTTCTTCCTTTGGCATTTTGATTGTGGTATTTTAAATTTAAATATTAATATTAATTTACTTGCTTTTTACTTTAGGTTGATTCACATTAATCGCTTATTTTTTTTTAATAGATTGTCTACCGTCCATCGATTTTTATAAAATTTAGTGGTTTGGTTTTCTTTTGTTATACTGCATTATAATTATGGGTATTTATGGCAGTTTTGTAAAACAATACATTTAATATCTGTTGTTGATTTTTAATATATTTTACCATTTAGATGTGTTGAATTTTAAATAAATGGTTTACAGACAAATATTCTAAATGTAGTACATATAAAAGTTTCCCTTTCAAACCTGGCGGTCTATGGGGCAAGTGAAGTAGAGTTCACTTGTTTCTGTGACCTCGGCATATGAAGAGATAGTGTGGTCAGCACTATGCCCAGCCGCCTTTACTTTCCCAAACGTGAGTTAGGTACCCATCAGAGTTGGGTGGACTCAGGGACGGTCTACTGACTTGCACCTGGATTCGAACTCGAGACTTACGGGTTAGCAGTCCATCTCTCTACCGCTAGACCACTCCGTCCAAATACATATAGTATGGCCTATTAATTATAGGTTGCAGCCAAAAACTAGATCTGTCCATCATGCCCGATTCCATGCCCACTAAATGTGATGCAAGCTTCAGTCTTGATAAGCCCGTTTTCTTTCTTGGCCTGCTGGACCTTACTGGGATGAATCGGACAGCCATAGAAAACAGTACGCTGGGATATAGGTATAAGGTAAATACATTTTTAGTAGGAAGCAAAGATAGAAAAATCTCTCCATAGAGACATGAAAGTATATAAAAATAACAGGTGAAAGTCGGAAACTGTTGAAGCAACTAGATCAAATCTAGTAGTGGATGTGCTTTGTTAGCTGATTGTGTATTCTAGTTGGCCACAAGCTAATTAATCTACACTTATTAAAATTTCATTTTCTTGCGTTCTCTTTAATATTTTAGTAATTAAATCTAAACTATAAAACATCTGCGGTTCATACAAAATTAGCATTTACAAGTCTTCTTATTTTACAGGTTATGTCCGAAGTTCTAGATCAAGCTAGTGTAGCAATGAGGTGTGATTTAGATTTACTTTACTGGACGGAAGTATCTACAATAGGTTGCTTTGAAAAACAAGACAAATTGTACGAAGTAGTGCTCAGGGTTAAAATCCCTCCTAAAGGGTACTTGAATTTTGGGAATATTTGTCTATTTTGGACGAACGGATATAATGAATCACAAGTAATGAATTGTACCAGCATTTTCGTACGTGGTGAGTATAAAATAAATAGAACGAGAATCACCTACGCGAAAATTCTCGTATATTCTTATTTAACTAACAGTAAGTGTTGGGATGGCACTTCCAGTAGATTAGAGCTATAGAAATATACGAGTCTGTGACGTTTGAAATGTTTACATACACACATTTTTTAAAAATCGCATATTAAGAAATAGAGTATTGTAACACTTCCGGCTTCCGGAAATCGTTCGCAACAGCTTAATATTTATACATAAAATGGTCCACCTCACATTAATGGTTTAAAATAAACGTAGCGGAGTAAATACCACTTTAAAAACAAAACAAATACAAAGATATTACTGACAGTACGCTTTTACATCACTGCCTGTTTCAGATTCATGCATATTTTAATAGAAAAAAAAATAGAAATTCAAATAGAAATTAAATAGAAATATTTATTAGTACAATGAATTTTTAAAAATAAACCGAATAGCAATGTTTGACGCTATTCAAAATAAAATCTTTTGCATTGTTTAAATAAAACAATTATTTTTCTCACTTTAATTAATTTTATAGTTTTTCATGGAATTGCCCAAATATGTTACTCTTGAAATTACGTAATACATATGTAATCTTTAAAAGTTTTCTTTCTAAGTTTCCCAACAAAGTGTAATACTAAATTACTTTGTTCAAAATTGTTATCGAAACACCTTTGACGTTTCAAGCATTAAATGTTAGATCAAAGCTTATGTTTATAATATTTTCTATAAATGACGTCACGCTTTTTTGACGATTTTTCTCCCCCCCCCCCCTCTTCTCCGTCACACATCATCACAAAAAGCCAGACCCCCCCCCCCTAAAATGACGTCACACCTCAGCCTACAACCCACCCCCCTCTAAAAATTGCAGTTTAATTTTTTGTAAAACATCGAAATTTTTCCAAAAACTTAACTGAACTTTGTCAAAAGAGTATTTTAATCAATTCCTATTACAATTTATTAAACCAGTTTTCTAAAACGAGAAACAACGTCTAAAATACGTTTTCTAACATTGCTGTTTATGTGACGTTGCACCATCTGAACCCCCCCCCCCCCTTCCCCCTCATCACACACCGTCACAAAATATTGGGCCCCTCTCCCCGATACGAGTGTCACGTCATTTATGGACGACCCCTTAACACACGTATTTCAAGTTTGTATATTTTTAAACGTTTGTGTGTCTTAAACTTCACCCCTTCTCTCATTCTCTTTCTCTCTCTTTCTCTCTGTATATATATATATATATATATATAAATATATATATATATTTAAACGCACTATGTTTTCCCTTTGTAAATAACTTTTTTTTCGTTTAGGAGTGAATTCAATATTTCTCAACTGGTGGCCAAGAGTACACTTTACATATACCAATCTGCAAGTGAATCAACATCTGACTTATATTAATCACTGGGTTACGATGTTATACTTATTTAGTGAATACAATTCCCTTATAGATGTATCCATACTCACACATTCTGAAACAATACTCTTTCAAAAGCAATTTGATACCATTCAGTATAGGCCTATTTATAGTGAACGATTTCAACAGAATTATTCTGCATTCGAGAACGACATGTTCATTTCTATACAAGGTGATAAATGTGTTGCTTCAGAATACGCATGCAAAAATATAGGTAAGTGGTTGATTATGCATTTTAAACATATGTATCGTCTTATCTTTATATTTAGACTTAAAGTTGAAATAAAACACCCTACAATGTCTTTTTTTTAAAATTATATTTTAATTTAAGGATAAAATATTGCTTACCTTCAAATCCTATACCTGAATGAATTCGTGTAACCATTTGGTGGTATGTTCGCTCGAACAATTGTAGTCCAAGCATTTTGTTTTGATATAAATGACATAATTTATGGGTGGAAATAACCGTCACGATTACCAAAAGTTTGTTTTTTAGTGGTTTGCATAAATTCAAACTTAATTTAAATTTATTTGAAAGCATCATTAGAAACGATAATTCGTTTTTAAATTTTACAATTATAAAGCTAGCAATAATGTTAATGTGTATAGCAGTTTATTAATTTTTTTTTACATAATTTACATCGGCTATTTGTTAAAATCAACTGTAATCAATATTAATACAAATTTTAACTTACATTTATGTAAATAAAATAGGGGGTGGTGATTCACAAATATTAATATTTTCTAATGCATTTCAATAAACTTAATGTACAAAAGTGGTTATGGTTATGTAGACGGTTTAATGCCAAATGCATGTGGAAAGTTTTAGTCTTGTATGTCAAAGCATTCCAGAGCCTTGGCGATTTGAATGGTGAATTTTGCGTAAAAATGCAAAGTTGAGAAAACATGAAATTAAGTGTGGAAAATAGTACTGTACGGTTTCTCTTACAGAATAAAAATGAAAGACAAATAGTTTTACGTGGAAGAACCATTTGACTAAAAATACATGTTGATTTTCTTTGTAAGTTTCAGATAGAGTTTTAATATAAGCAGAAACAATCTATACAAGATGACGAGCGTTCATGACAATTATATATGATCTATCATATTCATCAAGTATTATGCTAAGCGCAACTATTATTTGACCAAATTAAGTTCTGTTTGTTAGTCGGTCTTCTTAATTCAATACAAGGTCTATTCTTACTTAAATTGTAGCGTACACAAGTTTATTGCCTCTTAATAGTCTACTACACAATCCTGGGTACAGCGCTTGAGATAGGACACGCCCATCCTCCCCCCCTCCCACTACCTACTGCTGGATGGTGCGTGAAGAGCCGATGTGCCGTAGATTACCAATGTTCATTCAACCGTGAATAACACTTCCGTGTAGATAGGGTAAAGCTCTATGCTTCTGTATAGGGTCTAAGTAAATTCTTATCAGCTTTCCCATCTTGTATTACATTGGATGTTAGTAAACCCTACACATAGCGAAGTCCATACACATTAGCACATGTGTCTGTGAGGGTGGGAATTTTAAGATGCGAAACGAATGAATCCAACAACACACAGTTCAAGTTCAACTATAATTGTTCTTTATTAAAATGATATATATGTTCAAGTTTTCTACCTAACTGATCTACACTGTACTATTTACTTCTACTACTGACTGTTCATACCACATACTACCTACTACTACGCACTCCCATGACCAATCCTAACACTAACCAACTGTTCCGTAGCTCTGCAAATTACAACCGTCTCTAACCACTACCTAACACCTTCTCTCCTCGCTAGCTACCTCTCAACTCCTGGCCTATCGCTCTACTGACCCACGCCTCAGTGGTCAGCTGACCGTCCCACGTGACCGGTCAGCCCTGTGCGCCCATTGGCCTCTCTAACCAACCAACTAGGCCTATAGTCTGTTTCTGCTAACCTATATCTGCTAAACATGTCTGACGTAATCTTGCGTCATCACAGTGTCGTTTACAGTCCGATGTAAAGACTGACGAGCCCTTTCAAGCCTATCACATAATGATGTAACAAGATTTTAAACTGGTCGTTGGTTGAAAGGCGATAAGGGGATGAAGGGGATGGGCGTGGTACATTCTTCAAACTGACAAACATGTCCATGACGCATTGTTTCAGCTTACTATAAAGCGTACCAAACAGTGTTTAATAGTGTTCCAATGACAATCAACAGTACACTTCTTTGCAAAGTTTAAATTATTAACCTAAATGTTGTATAATTTTAAAACAACAAATAGAAGAGTGTATGCAAATAAAGTAAACAAACGAAGACGGGATTGTTTTCTTTATCTTGATACAAATAGGCTGCCTAGCCCATGTACCATGTTTCACGTCGCAATAAAATGATAACCCTTGGCTGTAGAAGTTTGAAATGTTCGGGTTAGATAGTTAAAAGATGTTAAAACCGAATTAAGAAATAAAATGTTATGAGCAGAAAGTCACGTTTATCGAAAACATGTGTATCTTAAATCTTAAGTTACACACGACTTACAATGTGTAGCCCATATAATATTTTTTATACACTTGTGTAATTTTATATTTTTAAAAATACATTTCACTTTCTCTACCAGTTGATAAATTGTTAAAATGTGAGCTGCCTACACTCCAGAACAACTATAATACTTTTGATCTAACTTTGACATGTCGAACTAAAACATATTCGTCGTTATCCATGTGGAAGTTTGAGGACCCTAATGTAGCAGGACGGGTAATAAAAATGTTTCAATTTGTTTATTTAAAAAGTAAAGTTCCTTATATGAACATGACGGTCCATGAAACAAGAGAAATAAAAGTTCACCTGTTTCAGTGACCTCGGCATATGAAGGGATAGTGTGCTCAGCGCTGTGTCTAGTGGCCCCTACTTTCACGAACGTGAGTCAGGCACCCATCACAGCTGGGTGTATTCAGGGACATTCTGACTTAAACATTTATTCGATCTCAAGACTTTTGGGTTCAGTAGTCTAGCGCTCTACCGCTAGGCTTCCCGTAGTTATCAACTGCCCTTGATAGGAAAACGGTTAACGAACTATTAAATTTGGCTAGCTTCTTACAAGCCCTATGTCCTTTGAGAGTTAAGTAAAAAGACTTTCAATAAGGACACCATTCAAATATTTACCTAATAATCTATGTGATAATATTTCTCGTTTTAGTTGGTTGATGAATCAAATAAAGAAGACAACGGTTCATTCATTCATACCTGGGTTTGGCGACTATCAAGACAGAATTCAACAATCGAAACTTTTTACAACCTGACATTTTCAATAGAAATTGATGAATTTTCGTTGCTAGCAAGCGACTGTGTAGAATTACCTCCCAATCAGAAAGAAAGTAATAATTTTCGGTAGCATAAATTAGCGAAAAATCAGTTTTTAGACAATTGTAGAAAATAAGATGTTTATTAAAATATTTTTTAAATTCCTTTCTAATTTACAGTTAACGTTATTTTTATTTTTAAGGACAAAGAAAAATAAACATTTATTTATTAGTTTGTTTCTGGACATTATTATACTTTTCTCGTGTAACCAATTCATCTATAATATATTCTCCAGATCCCCCAAACGTGAGTCTGTCAGCTGACTGTCCAAGAGGTCCAGGAGTTAAAAACGGCTACATCAGACGTGGGACAACAGCTGAGTGTGGCTGTGTTGTGTCGAGCTCAGATAAAACTTACTCTACAATTAGATGGTACAGAACAAACAATCGGCCAGTTTCCTTAACAGGCGAATCAGTTCTAACCATTGACTCCAGGGGAAATGGTAAGTTTTAAATGCTTTGCTCTAACTTGGTATTTTGTTTCTTGTATATATTTATAACTATATCGAATTTGTTCGGTATAATGCTTTGTAAATATCGATCTAAAAAATATACATTATTACTGTGGTTTCGAAAAATAAATAAGTAATTTCAGTATAACAATGCTAATTAGAATTACATCAAAACTTATTTTTTTATTTAAACGTTTTGAAATTAATTTTTAAAATTACTAGTAAAAACGTGTGTGTAAATTTGACTTTCAATTACTTTAAGCTTAAATTATAAATTGTAACAGTTTTTCTGATATATTTCTAATAACTCAGAGACCAAACAGGCATACATTTGTCGAGCAACTTCAGTATCCGGTTTAGTGACTGATGTACATTTTGTGGCTAGATTTTACTGTAAGTTGCAATTTAGTACGTTTTACTACCAGGTTTATTATATAGGCTACCTATTGAAACAAGGCATTCGATTTCTTTAAATGTTGAATTATATTTATCTTACGATGTAATAAAAGCCTTTAGTTTTTTGTTTTAGCAGTTTATTTTAGATGAATAATATAACATGTTTAGATGGACCAGACGTTGTCAAGTTTACAGTAAACAATACCATTTCCATGAACGTAAGTGTTGGTGCCATTGTTGTGTTTTACTGTGAAGTAGAAGGAGAACCTTCTGCTAAAGCCTTGATCAATGGCAGCGGTCTTGGACAGGTGAAAGAAATCCAATCTAACACGTCAGTCTTGGAGCTGGTTCTAGAAGATCTACAATGTGAAGACTCGGGACGATATTTTTGTATGGGAGTCAATGGCTTTGAGGATAGCGGGACGATGGATCACAAACTTGTGGATGTTAATATTGAGTGTATGTTCATTTTATTAAGTGTAAACATTAATTGCATTCAATTGCAAGCAACTCAACTGATATGTTTTTGGTATAGTCTAGTATAAATAACACCGTACCTATATTTTAAAATTATTTTTGCATTACTTTTAAACTTACACTTAATTTATATTTTAGGTCAGCTGACAGTAAGAAACCCAAAACCGAAAGCAGTTTTATCTGTATATTTTCAGGTGTACTAAAAATAAGATATCCACCACCGGAAGTCCCCGTTGTCCGCGTGTCACGTGACAAAAACACAGTGTTTACACTTGAGATTTACGGATATCCTGAGCCGACAAAATTTGGTCTAAAAATAGAATCAGGGAATTCCGTTTCTGACGTAGACAAGAAAACCTACGATATCTCGTACATCAGCACGGTGCCACCATTTGGTCTGGTCACCGTGACCTTCTATGATAAAACCACCAGGGTCATCACGACCTACATACTGAGTGTGACCAACACAGAAGGGGAGCTGAAGCTCAAGTTTGACGTCATCAATCAAGGTGTTAAGTCAAAGACTAGTAAAATAGAAAATAAAACAATGATGACAATAATAGGTTTTCTAATTGCCATCTTTGTTTAGGGTGTAAATATCTATATCACAAAAAAATTCCATCTTGCTTGTCTACTACACCCTGTTTTAGATTATTTTAAGCTCTTAACTAAATATATCTCTTTGTTATAATTTATTTGTTTAGTAAACTCTAAGTAAGAATCCATGCAATTATGTGATTGGATATGTACATAAATACACACACACACACATATATATATATATAAATATATATATATATATATATATATATATATATATATATATATATATATATATATATATATATATATATATATAGTTAGTTAGTTAGTCGTTAAATCTTTTTAATTAGAGGCTCAATGTTTGCGGGAATAGTTGGGAAATTACCAATAGACCACCCTAATACAATCTGAAAATATATGCTACCGTCTTTATATTAGTTTTTAGATTACAGTTTAAATATAAGAATTCGAATATTTACTAACGTTCTTTTTTAGATTTATTATTTGTTAAATAAAAGTATTTTATGAACTCTACTTTGATTTGATTTATTTTAATTAGAAAACTAAAGCTTCTTCTTTGAGAGAATTCATGGGCGAAATACGTGGATTACGGACGATGGATCAGAACGTAATCACTTTTATAAGTACTCATTATGCTCATGGTAATGTAACTTGAAAAGCATGTCCCTGTCATTTTCTGCAGGAGATGACCACAAACTTCACACACTATTTTCAAATTGTCCGTCTATTTCTGTACCGCGTATTTCTTTCTGAATTGAACTGATCGTAGTAATGCTCTGTTCATACATTTTACAATGCGCTTTGGGATGGCGGGGGAAAAGAAAACCCGGTGTTTTTCTATACAACAGCTGACGGCCTCCGGATAGGTTCTTTGTTGTGTAGTTTGTGGTTGGTAGTTAGACTGGCCTGGTCATAATTTCTTCATTTTCTAAAGCCACCTAAAATAAATTGAAGGTATATAAATGGTCGAGAGAGAGAGAGAGAGAGAGAGAGAGAGAGAGAGGAGAGAGAGAGAGAGAGAGAGAGAGAGAGAGAGAGAGAGATGTACATGATTAATTTATTCATATGTTTTATTTATACGAACAGAATCTGATATTTCAATACAGTTTAAAAATTCAGTTACTTTTATCAACTGATACGTTTTTGCTTTTCGATCTAGCAATATATTTAATCACACATACATAATGAATCAGCTACACTTTCTCATGGTGTGTTTAGTGTTTCACTGTGTTTATTAACTCCATATCAAAATTAAGAATAGTTTTTTTTTTTTTTTTATTTCAAAGTAAATGATCATAGTAAAAAGTCTCATAAGTTTACATGGTGGATTTTGACGCATGTATGTTAACTGTTTGCAGTCACTGTGTATCCTACATCTCGAGTAATCACCAACGGTGTAACTTGAGGTTGCGAGTTCACACTTGAGTGAACATTTCCTTTCACGGTCTGTGATCAAGAAAGTTGTTTTATATAGATCCACGACCTTTTAAACATCGCATGAACACACCCCGATTCATACAACAGTGTATAGAGCACGGCAAAACCGATGTTAGGTACGGATGGCTGGGTAGAAAGAAGTAAGGACGAATTCTTAAAATTAGAATCAGCTGTATAGACTAAATTATGTGTTGTATTATAGTTTGTGTTACACAACAAGGTACACGAGTCTTTTTTAATTTTTTAAATTTTTTTTCTCCTGTTTTGCCTGTTCTCATATATTGGCAGTGTAGAGAAATATTAAGTATTAGATCATGTTAAAAGTTGTGTGATTACTGTTATGAAGATTTGCGGATTTTCATTGAAATTTTTTTAGTTAAACGTTTGAGCTCCCATTCATACTATGGCCAACTTAGGGGGTAAAACCTGATGGTATAAAAGAAGACCAAAAAAAGGAATTATAATTAACCTGTAGACTAAACTGGCAGGTCATGAGTTGTATGTACTGAAGAGCGGAATCATATAAATCATGTACAATGAAACTACGGTCAACTGTTGAAAAAAAGTTACAAATACTTTTTATAGAAGCGCATGTTTACGTTTTGGTGCGTCTACATTTCCTCAATGGTTTCGTTAGAAACAGTCATCATGGAGTGAATCGGTATATATCTTTTATCCAAGTCATTCTAAGCCTACAACAGCTGTGCAATGAGATTTTCGGGACTTTGATTTAAACCTACAAAGGGCACATCAATTCAACCGCTAAGGAATGTGCTAGGTTGTCAAATGCCAGAGATGCTATTGCTTTTTCCTGTTTAGGTCAAAGAATTATTTTTTGCCTTCATTTTCGCCTCAGACATGTAATTTACATCGCTAGTTTACCTTTAGTATTACGGTTTTCATAATCGGCTTGTGAGGACTGATACAGATTTACAATAGTAATACTTCTTTGTAACATGCACTTTCATTCATTGAAGATATTAAACCTAATACAAAACGTAAAATTTTATAAAATGGTGATTTATTATTTCTTGGTTTCATTTTTGCTTTTTTGTTTTTCTTTAGACTTAGAAAAAGGGGCCATTATATGAAAGTGCAAAGAATATGAAAGTGCAAATTTTTTTTTTTCGCTCAACATAGTAGGCTCAAGATGTCCAAGTTTTTGTAAAGAGAACAGTGAGCGCAAAATATTTGTACATAAATTGGAAAATAACTTATTATGGCAGAGGTGTAAATAAAGGGAGACAGTCCTGGCTTCCTGACTGGCTCGGTATTTACTTGATGGCTTCCCTTTCGGGAACAAAGCGGCTAGAATACAGACAGAATAAATTCCATATGATTAGTTCTTAATATTAATGCATGAAAAAAAAATCAAATGGCATGCGTGGTGCAAAAGAAGAACAAAAGGAGGGGAGCGGACGGAGCCTTTTACCTGGCCCGGCATTACATTTTTTATCCTCATAATGAAAGGGGAGCACTTGTGATTGCATTACGGCTTGGTGTGGCTCTGAAATGTATACTGTTGTAATGATTGTGGTATTGCGTCTATTGCTTTGGCAACAATGGGTGTTTCTTGAACTTGTGTAGACAGGTTTTATTTGTTTATCGTTTCCCTTAATCAAGTGTTGTATTCGTCGCCTCGTGGTCCATAAGGTCATGATAAGGTCATGTCCTCTACGTCGCTGTTACAAGTCGGTCGCAGGAGTTTACCATTCCACGGGTTTTGCCTAGACTGTTGATGTAGTCTGTCACGTTCTATATGTAGTTGTCCTTCCCCACATAATGTCTCGGTCGTTGCTTAGCTTTGTGTGTTGTGTGCTCGTTCACTGCCGTATCGTTTTCAGTTGGGAGGGGGGGGGTTGTAACTAAGCGATATGTTGCTAACTCTGTGCTTTTTTTTGTACATGTTGGAGAGGGTGGAATAATCGTGTGGTCGCCCCTTTACCAGTCGCCTTACTGTCATCAACATCTGAGTTGTTCCGATGGCTCGTGTAACTTCTCGTGTTAAACTGAGTGAGGTGTTACGTCTACAGTTATTTATTTTGCAGAGAAAAAAAAAAGGGGGGGGGGGGGGAATGAAGTTAGGCTTCGTGTAAATGTATTTGTTTTTATTATTTCACTTTGAACGGTCTCGTTGCTATCGCCTCTTGGTCCATAAGGTCGCGTCCTCTGTACGTTGCTAGTATATGAGTGATCTCGTGAAGGCAATTGTCAATATTTGTTGATCATCTTGGAGCATGTGAGGGGTGTGGGGGAAGGGTGTAAGGGGTGGTCAGGTTGTCTACCATTTCCCAGCCGTCACAGTGGCAATCCCGTGTGTGGGGTTAATGATCGATTTAAGCCGCATTGTTGTGTAGGATTGAAGAGAGTGAACAATTTGGTAATGAAGAGAGTTATCTGTTCGTCTTCCCTGCACATTGTTTCTATATTACTAGGTCTAGAGTTACTTCGGTTGGTAGTCTTTAAAAATAAAATGTCTTTGGGAAGAGGTTTAGGTTTAGGTTTAGGTTTAGGTTTATGTTTAGGTTTAGGTTGAGGTTGAGGTTGAGGTTTAGGTTTAGGTTTAGGTTTAGGTTTAGGTTTAGGTTTAGGTTTAGGTTGAGGTTGAGGTTGAGGTTGAGGTTGAGGTTGAGGTTGAGGTTTAGGTTTAGGTTTAGGTTTAGGTTTAGGTTTAGGTTTAGGTTTAGGTTTAGGTTCAGGTTCAGGTTCAGGTTCAGGTTCAGGTTCAGGTTCAGGTTCAGGTTCAGGTTCAGGTTCAGGTTCAGGTTCAGGTTCAGGTTCAGGTTCAGGTTCAGGTTCAGGTTCAGGTTCAGGTTCAGGTTCAGGTTCAGGTTCAGGTTCAGGTTCAGGTTCAGGTTCAGGTTCAGGTTCAGGTTCAGGTTCAGGTTCAGGTTCAGGTTCAGGTTCAGGTTCAGGTTCAGGTTCAGGTTCAGGTTCAGGTTCAGGTTCAGGTTCAGGTTCAGGTTCAGGTTCAGGTTCAGGTTCAGGTTCAGGTTCAGGTTCAGGTTCAGGTTCAGGTTCAGGTTCAGGTTCAGGTTCAGGTTCAGGTTCAGGTTCAGGTTCAGGTTCAGGTTCAGGTTCAGGTTCAGGTTCAGGTTCAGGTTCAGGTTCAGGTTCAGGTTCAGGTTCAGGTTCAGGTTCAGGTTCAGGTTCAGGTTCAGGTTCAGGTTCAGGTTCAGGTTCAGGTTCAGGTTCAGGTTCAGGTTCAGGTTCAGGTTTAGGTTTAGGTTTAGGTTTAGGTTTAGGTTTAGGTTTAGGTTTAGGTTTAGGTTTAGGTTTAGGTTTAGGTTTAGGTTTAGGTTTAGGTTTAGGTTTAGGTTTAGGTTAAGTTTTAGGTGACATTTGCCTATTCATTTTGAAGGCAGTTTTACTTTTATCCACAGTGGTTTTTCTATTGTTTTACGTGCTGATTATCTTGACTCATACTAACGTTATGGAAGTTGTGTGAGAATATGTTTATTTTTCTTAACATTTATTTAGGTACCTCATCCCCTACATATATTTACATATATTTACATAGAGTTTTAACACAATGTCCCTAAAATTGTTTGCATCTGTACAAAAATGTCTTTGAAATATCTTCTAGATCAGCTGACAAGCAGGGGACCTGCAGTTTCCCCTACCAGTTAATATTGGCATGCCGACGATACGCAAAAGCATAATCTACTGGGCACAC